AACGCGCGAAACGAATGTGAAATAAAATTTATTAGCATTTGATTGTATGAATCGTTTTATAACATTCATTATATGATTTTATTCAAAGCAATGGTAACTGTAATTAAACTTTCTTTAACTTCTTATTGGACTTCTCTTTTGGTTGCTTTTGGACACAAAACGGTTCAATTAATTCAATGACGAGTTTACTTCTGAGAGACAACGCGTTTTCATTGACAGACAGGCGAACCTTTAACTTATCAAACAATTTGAGTGTGTATTTCAACGGCAAATACTGTTGCGTTAACTCAAACTCATTGTAGATCCAGTCCTCTTTGGGGTCTAAGAAATAGCTCAGTTCGAGCGCCAAACGTGGTATAAATATCTGAAGTGCATTCTTCTTAACATATATGATATATCCCTCTTCTTCTAAGGGTTTACCACTTGAAGTGTGATCTTTGATAAGCAGATGGGAATGCAGTTCATTAGAGGAACGGCTCGCCTGTCGGGCCATTTTGTTGCGAAAATTGATTTGTTCGCAGAGTTCGTGCATTTTCTTCTGGTTTAGAAGTGAGGCATCGATGGCTTCGTATTCAATCACATGACTTAGCAATCGGTGAACCATAAGATCGGCGTATCGTCTGATGGGAGACGTGAAGTGTGTATATATAGGCGTCGCTAAACCATAGTGACCGAAGTTCTCTGTTTCGTCGGCCAGCGAACCGCTACAGAAATACAACGCTTGAGTCATACATCTAGTGGTAACCATTCGGAACATTAGGTTCATAAATGGATTGTCCGGATCAATGGCTTTGTTAAGACTGTCCGACAGTGATTTACCACTCGATGTATCCATATTATATCCCTTGCTTTTGGCGCAACCCATTAGGTCCTCAAAGTTGGACGAACTCGGCGTCGGGTGACGGCGTAATAGCGATAAACTTGGAAACTCTTCGTATATCCTTTTAGCCACCGATATGTTGGCCAATAACATGAACTCTTCAATCATTGAGTTCGTCTCATAGATCTGTTTGGCCTCAATCTTAAGCACTTTCTCGGATTTCTCAGGAATCTGATCCTCAGGATTCGGGTTCTCATGCGTTTCGGAATCCATTTCAACGAACTTTATCTCATTAGCGCTCGCGAGGACCAGTGCTCCGCCTTCTATGCGCTTACGGTTCAGAATTTTGGATATTTGCAAGAGTCCGCGCAAACCACGGGTCACGTCGTCGTTCATATGCGGCGAATCGATCCGATTCTGCGCCTCCCCGTAGGTCAAAGACGCTCGCGATCTGATCACTGACTTCATAAACTTTGTGGTCTTTATCTCAGCGGTGTTGGCGTCGAGCGTCCAAATGACACTAAACGTCAGCCGATCCACGTCTTCACGCAGTGAACACAAGTCCGAACTCAAGAGAGTGGGAATCATATCAATGCGTTGTCTCACCAAATAAACACTGGTTCCCCTGTCGGCCGCCTCTCTGTCCAAAGCTGTCTTTGGTTTAATAAAATGAGAGACATCTGCGATGTGAACACCGATTTCAAAGAGACCGTTACCGATGTCTTTGCAATGGAGGGCGTCATCGATGTCCGTACAACCGGGCGGATCCACCGAACAGATGGCTTCGCCCCGCAAATCGGTTCGATTCACGAGATCCTCTTCAGATAGTCTCCATTCGCGGCCCTCTTTTGGCAAACATTTCATAACATCGTTAGAGAACTCCATGTGCGGGATGTCGTTCTCCAGAAGAATCACTTCAGTCTCGGTCTCTTTGGTTCCGGCGGCGCCCACACACCGCACGTAATGTCCTTTCGGATACTTGGAATCCCGCGGCCACGAGTCGATCGCCACCACAATCCTCTGCTCCTTCAAATGCTCGTATTGACGCGTTTCGATCCGAATAAACGGGATTTTCCGGTCAAGCGGAACAAATAGGTGACGATTGGACATCGAAGAGGTGTTCATATTCTCATTGCGCTTACGAAGAACACCGCAATACTGTCTCCAATTTCTCCTTATTATGCCCACCACTCGACCCATCGGCGTCTTCGTAGAGGTGTCCTCCTTCTTGAAGATAACGCTCTCTTCCCTATCTTCACGATTGTCTCCGTTGTCTTCCAAATCTTCGTTCACCTCTAAAACAACATCTGATTTCGATGTCCACTCGCTTTCGGGCAACAATTCAATGGCGACGATGTCGTCACTAATGGCACGATTGATATGAAGGCTTCCCTGTATTAAGACATTGAGTTCTTCGCCGTTACGCGAAATCATAACAAAGCCCTCCAAATAGTTTAATCGATTCGTATAATACTTTCCCTGAAAATATTTTGTTCCCGATTTAATTCCCGATTGGATCGCATCTAAACCCAAGTGCTCATCAAAGATCAGTTTGATATCTTTGGCGTACTCTCCAGTGGTGGACATATCGGCCAATTTGTCCACTAAATTGACGCAATCTTTAAGACTCTTCACGTATTTATCGATAGGAAAGCATTGAATCGATTCTGACTTTAACTTCATTTCATTTGAGTTAACGATTAAAACCAATTGAATGTCTTTGAGATGCGATTGAAGCCATTCCGCGGCCGAAACCACTAACCGTTGCTTATATTCGGCGATGGATTCGCCGAAAACGCGTTCACTAAACGTGTTTTTATTGTATTCATTGAGGAAAACGTAAAACCGCTTTTCGGCCATCACTTGCTTGATCTGCGAGAAGACAGTGATGTTTCTCTTGATCTCATCCCAAACCGTTTGCATCAGTATTATATCGCAGCCGAAGTACGGGTCGATTATGACATCGAGTTGGCTGTAGACCACACCGAAGTCGGGCACCACATAGTGGGCGAGTGGTGTGACTGCACTGACGCCGACCCGCGGACTGTCACTCAAGTAGGCCTTCGGCGCGAAAGGACTGTCCGAAGACTGTTTGAATGGCTGGCAGTCGGCGCACGACTCGCGGCCGCAGTGGATGTCTTCGCGGAGATAGTGTTCGCGAACCACTTTCACAACGGATCCCTTCTTCGTCTTGCGGTGAAACGTCTTGATTGCGGACATCCTTTCAATCGATGGTTGGCTTCGTTTCAATTGTCAACACATGAGACACATGTGACCACACTTTGCGTGTTTTAGTCACAAACAGCGTTACAAGTTGTTGAGAGGGTGGAGGCTTGAAGTGCGAGGGGTTTGCCTAACATTTTAAACAATGGAGTTGTGATAATATGGGGTTCTATTTGTGGTGTTGTTTATCGTAACGCTATATAAGAGTTGCAATTATTGTAAACATTTTCAAAACATGTTTTGTTGACTGAATTGTAAATCAAGTCTTGAATTGCATTCAAAGGCAAACCATTTGTTAATTGTTTGACATTTAAATGCATTGAAAACGATATGTCGTTAACGAAAGCTTTCACTTGTCTATCAAAACCATACAAAACATGTCTATTGGGCTATAATGTGGCCAAACGTTGTCCTCCACAGCAGATGGTGTGCCGAAGTCTGGCGGCGGCCCCACCCGTCAGTTCCGGCGCCCAACCCATCGGTCAAAGACGGTTCCGATTGCCGGTGGAAACGGACGCAAACAAACTCGTGAACCACTGCTGTGGAGCCAATTACTTGAAAGAGGGAGAAGAGATCCCACTCAAGCCGGACGAAGAGTATCCCGAATGGATTTGGTCGCTAAGACTCAATTATCCGCCACCCGTTCACGAGTTGGACCCAAACACCAAAGAGTATTACGAAAGGCTGGCAGTTGTGGGACAGCAGCGGGAGTGGCGACAGAGGAAGTTGACGCGACAGCGCTTCAAAGTGGTGTCCGATCGCATCGAGCGGTTGGAAGAGTTGCGATATCGGCGCCGCTTCCGGGCGTTGGCTCACAAGGAGTTCGACGCCGGCTATGAAGTGGTCGCTCACTCCGAGCGCGAGGACTACTGGGATTTGGAGGCGAAGGAGCGGTTCCGCGAACCCGACGAACCCAAACCTTTCTATCCCGGCGTCGATACCGTTGAGATGCCCCACGAAGTGGCCGCCAATCGGCTGCGTCTTAGAGACACCAAAAAGTGTGGTCATTATGGCTGGTGATGGCCGACACATCTCATGTGGTGATCAGTCTTATATGTAAAGCATTTAAATTCTTGATTATATTAATGTGTAATTACTGTTAGTTAAAGAAATAATTTCAAACAATTAGTGAGAATAATGTAAACATGTGTTTAAATAAATTTATTAATTTTTATAAAACATCTAATATTTCAATAATAATATGTAATATTCAGTAATGATTTGTCAGAATTTAACTTTCATTTAAAAATGTCATTGATAGAATAATGTAAACATGTGTTTAAATAAATTTATTAATTTTTATAAAACATCTAATATTTCAATAATAATATGTAATATTCAGTAATGATTTGTCAGAATTTAACTTTCATTTAAAAATGTCATTGAATTGAATTCATTAAATGGAAAACAATATATCTTTTGTTGAGTTGTTTAGTATTGAAGGCATCGAGAGATGCTTAAAATACAGTATATTTTGTAATTCTTATGACAATCTATAATATGAATGAATTTGAATACAAATAAACAAATTTATAGCAATATATAAATTAAAGTAATTTTAAATTCAAATCATAAATATTTATAAATTAATGAATGTTTCAAAAATAATATAAAATAGATTTAACAAAAGGACTGTATGTTTAATCGTCTAATTCATCGTCGCTTTCGTCGGTACTGTTAACTAAATCCGAGTCCTCGACAGCGCTGTCCTCGTCTTTGTTGACCTCCTCTTCGTCTTCGGATATATCCCATTGCGGGTGACTTTCTGTTTGTTTTGGCGCCTCTTTTACGTCCAACTGTTGGCAAAATCATACAAACAATTCAATTAATGTGTTTAAACTCACGAATAATGTGTTAAATAATGCAAACCTTAATGGTTTTGGAAATATCAAAGTCGACATAAGAATCGCTGCGAACGATCACAGAATAGGTGTATTGGCCCGGCTTTTGAGGCGCTGTAAACTTGAGCTCCACTTCCTCTTTGTCCACGAGATTTGTCATCAGATATGGCGCTGATATCAATGCGTGGCGTTTCTTATCGGACAGATATATCCACCAATACTCCTGTTTGTCTTCAGGAAAGTACGGACAGTGGACTGAGTGCGACAACTTTGACTTCCCCTCCAACGGCTCCTTCTTTTTCGATACGTTTGTCTGGAAGTCATCCCAATTGTCGTCCTCTTCGTGTTCGCTCACGTCTTCATTCGCTTTAACCTTTTGTTCCAACTCTTCCACATCGGAATCGCTATTATCATCGGATCCTCTTTCACTGCCCTCTTCATCGCTCTCTCCGTCCGACTCTTTTGGTGCTTTAGTTTTCTTGACGGCGACCACTTGGCTGTTGGCTTCAGTGGTATTTTCTTTCTGTTGGTTCTGGTTTTGTGTCATCTTTTTGATGGCAGCAGTTTTGGGCGTTTTCTTGGTTTTGGCGTTTTTCTGTCCTTTCTTTTTGCCTTTTGTCTGCTTTTCCCACGCCTTAGGCTTTTTCACGTTCGCATCATTGGTCTGTCCCTTATCTCCCGACTCTCCGATCGCCAGATTCTCCTTCTCTTCATTGTCTTCTTCGTTATCAATACAACTCTTCTCTTCAATAAACTCTTTGTCGAACAGAACCGACATATTTTGTCGACAGAGACTAACAGTGACCGTAACGATAGCGCCGGCGGTGATAATACCGGCGTCTTCGTCGTCGAGCACTTCAGATCTGACATCGATCTCAAGTAAAGGCATTTTTGAGATGACATTCATTACATTCTCGTACTGTTCGTCACTCAAACTCCTTAACATCGATCGCCGTTCGTCTGACTTCATACCCGCCAACTGTCGTATATTTCGTACGTTTCGCTTACGAGTCGTGAAATGTCTTAACATGTCTTCCGACACGTGAGGTAACTGTAAGAGCGAGTTCTTCGAGTCCCAGAGTGCCTGCACTACCAGAGCGCTCAACTTCATCGTGTACTCCAATGTGTCGAGACTGGGTGTGCGGGCAATACGTCCGGCCAGTGCTAACATTGTTAACTGTGACACACACTGAACAAACTCCTGGAGCAGATACGGACACTTCCAGACCACATATAGTTTGTCGATATCGAGTGAATTGGGCGGTAGATTCATACGACTCAAGTGGGCGTGAAGTAGGGCTCGGGCTTTGATGCTATACGTGAAACAAAGCGGTCGCTCCTTATTCTTCTCACCCAAATTGGGCAACAGTTTCATCAGATGTGGCACTTCTTCGTTATCCGACGGCCGCTCAACCACTTCGCTGTTGTGGTTGCGCTCAAACTCCAGACTCGAGGCCAACACCATAAGCACTCTCTTCAACGGCATGTGCGGTGTCTTATGGATGAAGTAGTAGTAGAGCTGAGTGGTGTCCAACAGGACCTGATCGCCGCCGTACTTCACGGACCGATACCACCAAACGCCGACCGCAACGGGCAGTGCGATCATAAAGACGAGCGCATATAAGCCGAGCACCAGAAACGAGTTCTCCTTCTCGACGATCCACGACGGAAGCGCTATACCGAAAGACATGGCTCCGGGACCGTCCGGATTGCCGTACGTCTCCCAGTTCTTGCGCGCCTCCTCGTCGGTCAGCGCCGCGTAAGCCTTCGCTATTTTCAAGAACTTCCTCTCATCGCCGGTCTCTTTGTCCGGATGGTAGACAAGACTCAGCCGTCTGTACGCCTTCTTGATCTCAGCCGTTGACGAGCCCTTCAATACATCCAAACAATTATTGCAATTTTTGATTAACAATTAAAATAATCATATATATGGCCTAGCTAGACATTCTAAAGTTTGCCTAGGGTTAACTATATTAGTAACCAGTCTACACGGTGAAACATCCGCGTGCGCTTGTCGCGATAGGTAGGTTCCTAATCGTCTTTAAATGACAAAATGAAATGATACACAAAATTAATTCAGACATTTGTTTTGCGGCCAAAGAATGCGGGCTTTAAATGGCCGCATAAGACGTGTCAATAGATATAGTAAATGACAATTACATGACTCGTCGCTTGACTTTACGAAGCGGTTCCCGATTTCGGAGATAATGCTCTTTCTGTGCGCATTGTTCGCAATGACATTGTTTTCGGTCCCTCTTATTGTCTTCTGTTGGCGGCAATCAAACCAATCAATGGAGTGACCAAACCATCCGACGAGACACGTGTCCATCACAACAAAAAACAAACAAATAATTAATAAAGTGGTAAATAAGTGGACAAATGAGTGATGAATGGTATGGATAGGTATGTGTGGTGTGTGTCAGGTGTGGGACACGTAATCATAATAATAAACACGAGTTGTGTTGTCTGTGGACTGGTATGTGGTCTGGGATTACCTTTCTTGCGGTCTTTAGGCCAGAAATAGTAAGTGCAGGGAATCACTACCAGAGCCAAGAAGGACAACAAGAAGTAGAAGAATGTGCCGCCGCTCTCGTCGTATTGAAACTTTGATCCGGCCA